AATGTAAATTTGTCCAACTCATGAATTTTATTTAAACTTCCCTAGTAAAATAAACGTTCATATTCTATATCAACACATAAATATTCAAGCATTAATGTATAGGATATACGTATATTGAACGAATTATTTTGACGATGACTCATCAGAGAAAATCCTATTTTTTGTTATATTTTAGTATTTCACTATTGTGAGTTTCACATAAGTGTATATATATAAAACCAGGGAGGGGTTCGGAGATAAGTCACCTCGTGTAAACTTTTTTCACCCCATTATCGATGAGGGGAGCAACGCCAAACTGGTGATTGGTGAACATTAGGTTTTTTTTTTTAATCTAAAAATGTACGATTATTGGGAAAAAAAATATTAAGTATTATATTCATTTTATTCCCTAGCTAACACATAAATGGTTCAGTACAATGAATATGGTTACAGCATGTTACAAAACTACAGAATTACATTTTTATGTGACAAATGTGTGAATTCACGTGGAAAACAAATTATTATTAATATTTTTTTTAATTTGAATTCGTTTCATAGTCCTGTTATAACTTGGGATCGTATTAATTTTTTTTCCGTAATATAAATGTATAATACTATAGTTATAATCATTTTAATATAAATGATATAATATTTTTTTTTAATAAACTTATGATTTTTTAACTATAATAAAATGTACCATGAGGTTAAAATAATACTTCAAACCACAAATGCAGGTGTTTCTCCGTTATAATCTCTAGTGTAATAATACTAACTTAAATTTATTCTTTCAAAAATATAAATTCTTCTTGAACATCAAATGGATTAAAAATATTAAAAATAAAGTATACCTATACTTATATTTCTGCTTTTAAAATAAGTTGAAGTTTTGTAGCATAAATTATGTCTTAAATATGGTAGAATAATTAAATAAAATCAATATGCTGATTTTTTATAATAATTTAAACTATGGTGCAAGTAGTAATAAAGGTAAATGACGTGTTTAAAAATATAAACTCGAGTCAATACAAGACCGTCGAACAGCAAAAAAATAGTCAACAAATGATAAACGTAACTATTTAAGTTCAAATATAATACGTACTAAAAATTATAAGGGAATAAAATTACTAAAATATTATAGTTAAATAAAATATAGTAATTATAACTAGAAGAAACAGCTAAAATGATATAATTATTACGACTGTATGAATATAGTTGTTTGTCATAGTAATGATTACTATGTTATATAGCAACTACAATTTTTAATGATTGAATTAACTTTAAAATATAGTTTAAATATTTATTACTACGACCCAGATTTTTATACAAAATGCATATTTTGCATGGTATATATCGGTCTACATGATTGGCGGATACCTAAGTTAACGTCGAATTCCACGAACACAAGCTTAAATAACACTGACTTAATAAATATACTAACATAAATATATTTACAATATGTGTGACGAGTACCTAAAACATAATTATTATTGTATTGAATTTACAAGTACGAATAACTTAAATTGTTCGAATTTCATTCATCATAACTCGCAGTCTTACCTTCAGCTTTTGCATTATTTTAGTTCTTTTTCTTATTTTTTAGAACTCATTACAGAGCGGATTGTTATTATAGTGTTATATTACGTATATAACAAGGGTAAACATAATTAAATCTTGTTTTCGTATTTTTATTGATTTTTTTTCGAGATAGAACCCACAGCAAACACGTTTTGAAAAATAAGAAGAATCTTTTCCCCAATGATAAAGCTATATATAGAATTCTAACTTCATCATAAATAACTATTTTTAATGTACCATATATAATATTGAACATACTATCGTCAGATTCATGTATTGGACTTATCGGAAAAAGAGTTTTGAAGTAGATACAGCAACATTAGACGTTTTAATAAAACGTGATCCGCTGATATATTATAAAACGTCTTATGTTCGTTGTATTCATTTCAAAAACAATTAAAACGAATTTTTTTCTACCGGAACTGTATAATGGGTAAATTAATAAAATATACGTTTATTTGATATCTATAATGAATCATTACTAATGATTTTAACAAAAAGAAATATTGTATATATTTAAATTAATTTGCAAATAAACTGTTGAGTCTAAAAATGTTAAGTTTTAATTGAAATCTATTGACACCTTCTTATTTTTCAGGTTTTCTCGAGAAAACCGAAAAAAATATTAAGTACAAAACCGTCATATCCATATATAATTGATTATTAAGTTAAATAATTATTTTAATAAGTTTATCAAACACGCTTGTTCCTTAGTATTTATTTGTTGCGGGCTGTTTTCTGTGCTGCATCGGTTACATTGCTGTCTAAAGAATTCATTGGCTCTTTAAAACCAATTCAAACATAATTTTCGTTTTCAAATTTTATTTTTTATCCATTATCATCATTGTTATTAAAAATCATGAAATACAAAGTTCACTCATTGTAAAGTTTGACAAAAGAAAATATGTAACATATAATGTAAATAAAATGTACTTACTTACAATACCAGATCTAAGGGGGAGGGGAAGTGGGTATGTTTGCCCCAGGTGTTGTTGGTATAAGGCAGCTCTTAAGTTAACAAAAAATAATAAAAGTCATGAACATATCCCATATTACCAACTTCGTAAGGGCGCTGCATTTTTATTAACCCCAGGCGTCAAATTTTCTAGATCCGGCATTGCATACCTATATATACTATGAAAAAATGTGTATGTCGTGTGGTTTCGAAATGCAATTGTACTTAATATATATATATATATATATATTTACACCATTGTGTTTTATGGAAACTAATAACAATAAGTATTTTTATAACTCCCGATGAGGCTTAATTCGGATTGTTTATAAATTAAAATTCATTTACATATTTATATATACATGCAATTTAATATAAAATGGAAAAATAGGTAGTTATATAATATATACATTTATATTTATGACTATTGATGTGTTCACGTTTATATAAATAATAAGTATTTAATAAATAATATTTATAAATCCATATATGACACGCTATGAATATCGAATATTAATTAATACGTTTTATCTTCATATTAATATGTAGATTTCAATCGAATAATTTTTTTTTTGCCTAACGTTTCGCTATGTGAACATATAAATACATGCGACTTTGTGTATACAAATAAACGGTTCAAATTATTGCAGTAATCGTGATTAACAATTAACCGGTCATTCGTATTATTAAAAATGTCGCGTGATCCACTAAAGCTTGAATTTGAAAAATATAAATAAATGATTCACGAGAAACGAGTATGCGTGTTCCCTTGTCCGAGAAAAAAAAAACATACCGTGTGTTATTTCGTGTTGAACTTTACACAGAATGTATAGGAAACAACAATTTGGTATCGACACATGTTTGTTATTTTTGTGATTTTTATTATTGTTTTTGTTTTTTTGTGGCGTTACATAAAAAGATACCGGACTGAGCTTTAAAAATATTACATATATCTTTGCGCGTTATAAAATAATATAAAAATAAAATTACAGTTCAGGCGAACATTGCGTAGGCTTATGTACGAAAAGCGTTCGATCTGATACGTACAACTCTATGTAAATATATAAATACATATGTAGAGGTAAAGGCGCATAATGGGGCGGCAGGCGAAGGCATAAAAAAAAATTGAATAAATATACGTGTATATACGTATAATAATAACAACAATAATAAATAAAAAAAAAAATCAATATAAAAAGAAATATTTTACAAAACAGCGAGAGTAAAATGTTGGCGAAAACGGTGCCGGGGCAGCGACAAGCGGAGAGAGAGGATGACACACGGGTCGAGGGTGAGAGACGCTGTTGGAGGCGGGAGGGGATTCATATTTTTCGTTTCCCTCGGTCACTAAAAACAAGGGACCGTAAAAATGCAACGGGGACCGTCGCGTTTCCCCACGCGGACCTTGCATCAGGAGTACCGCGTGGGGAGAGGGCTCCTTTGACGGCGGCGACTACGGCTGTACGATCACCGCGATGACGACGACCCCTCACCGCTCGGCCAATAATCTTAATAACATAAAACTGGGCGGTGTTCCTTACACACACACACACGAGCGCACTGTGGACTTACAGACTCGTATGTCCGCGCGCACACTTGTTCTCGTTTATATTATAAAAAAAAAAAAAATGTCGACGCGGGGTGACGAAACGTCCACGAACCCATCCGCAGCACGCACGGCATATACATACACACCCGGTACACCTACCCCTTCTAAACTCATATGCGTCAAATATACGCATATACGTACCGTACACCGAGTATCCAAAATTGAATTTCGTATCATGCGTTTTCCACCAACACCACTATGGTCTTACGGGCAAACACTGCGCACGACGTGTGCTCGTGTGCGAACGGTAACCGGTGCGCGTACACGTAGGCGGCGGTTGACGGACGGTCAACGTCGTCTTTCCGTCGAAACCGCGAGAGTTACAGCGTGTTCCGCACGTGACGTCACACGCGACGACCGTCAATCGATACTTTGTTTCGTGGTACTATTTTTTTCTTCTTTTTTTTTTTTTATTTCCCCCCCATTTTTCTCCCCTATTTTTATTTTTCGCCGCACAGGGGTTTCTTTTTTCCTATTTTTTTTTTCTCATTTTTTTTTTTTTTTTTTATTCCATAAAACTCGCGTACGTACGATCGCCGCCGACACAATGTATAATTGGGTAAGGGACCGCGCGCGCGGATCGTCGTCGTCGTCGTCGTCGTCGGTAATAATAAAAATAATATAGTTGCGATACGGACACCACCGACGTGTGCAGAGAGCAATAGTAATACGCCGTGCAACGTCCGTCGACCGTCCGCCGCCGCCAAAGTCGCCGACGCGTTGTCGTCACCGCCGCCGGCCGCGCCACCCCTCGCCGCTGTCGCCGCCGCCGCCGCCGCCGTGGCACCCCGTCGGCGGCGACGACAACTACGACGACGACGACGACTGCCCTCGAGCGCGCGTCGTATATTATTATTATTATTATTATTATTATTATTATTATTATATGATTCACCACCACCGCGAGCGAACGTCCGTCCAGTCGATATGTGTGTGCCGCCGTCGGCGGAACGTTGACGTGGTGGCGAACATCCCCATTGACGGTGCGGCACGCGTTCGGTACGAAATAGTTTTATCCGTTCCGTGCGATCGTGTACCACGCGAGTGAACATTTCCGTTTCGAAATAAACGCGTGAACGATAAAAGAAAAAATCAAAAAATCAAAAAAAATCCAAAAAAAATCCGAAACCATAATTTCGTAATTTTTAAAAAAAAAAACAATCCTCGCCCGCACCACCCGCACTGCAACTCGTCATCATGGTGTTCTGCCGTTGAGAAGAGACATGCACCAACAGCACCACGACTGCCGCAACCAACATCGCAGCCGCTGTTGCCGTGGTCGCCGCCGCCGTCACCGCACCAACTCCGCACGCGTCCCGTAACCGTTTCGGCCGTCGCCTCCGGGTGAGTACACCGTTGTTTTGCTATCGTTTACCGGTCGTCCCTTTCGCTCGGCCGCGTTCTTCGTCATCGTCGCGCGAACGTTTTCCGTTTTCCGTCCGTTTTATAAGGGACATCCTTATTCCGACGGCTTGTTCCGAACGTTTTGCGGCGCGGCGCGCACAGGTACTCGTTCAAAAGTTCGTTACACGCGCGCTGCCGCCGGTGGACACGTGTACGGTGCGAATTGTGTACGTTTCCACATCTCGTTTGCGACTGCACGCCGTTTTTCGTTCACGTTTCACGTGTTTTCCCGTTCGGGTTGATGACGACGGTTCAATGGTAATAGCTATTACGATTACATCGACACTCGATAAAATCGTTTCACGACCAAACACTACATGCTACGATTTTTAAAAATTTATTCCAAAGCGTATAATTATTCCGATACATGTGGACTTCATTATCGAAAATCACTTGTACGACTTCTGCACATCGGTCTGTTTACATTTTAAAATTTGTAACATTACATAATAACGTTTTAATATTTTAGCACTTCAGGCCCATGGCTTATTAAATTTGTACATTCTCTTTTCGTAACTTAGATCTATGTACTGTTGAATAGTTAATGTGATATTGCGCAAATAATACAAATAATCTCAATATATGTAAGCTCGCAGTTTATAATGACATTTATGTATTTATAATATATTTGTAAAAAAATTTAACGATCTAAAATGTAATATTTAGTTTAATATCTAAAACATTTGAGAGCAAATGTATCTTTGAAATCGATAAAACTCCTCGAAGACAATTATATAAACCTAAATTCGTCTATAATTATTTGCTGTTTCAATGTGCAATGCGTTATGTTTGTTTATATATAATTTAATTTTTTTTAACGGAATTTTAAGCAGGTAATACTCGTAAAGCTAGGATAAGATGTATTTAATTATAAATTAAAATTATTCCTCAACCTAAATATAAAATTAGCCCTGATGGCAGCTTTAATTCAAGTATCATAGTAATATATATTTAAAATTAACAAACAAAAATTGTTGAGTTATAAAAATAAAATTTCAGCTTGGTTTAATGTTTATTATCTACATAATATAAGAACATCAAATCCATGTTTTATGTACACTATATTAAGAAGCTTAAAATAAGTAAACCTTAATACTTTTATGTAAAATGAAATGAATTACCTATGAGCTATTAAAAACAAAATACCTACATTTTATAAAATAAATTAATTTAATCCAGCTTTAGCTAGCAAAGCTTTATTTATAAATAAAAATTATATTAGACCCTTACGTCCAAAATCTTAAAGATGCCTGGTTTAATGTGATATTGTTTAACATATTGTTTGTATAACATGTTAATATTCAATATTCATATTTATTTTTGAAAAAAATAACTAAATTTTGAGGGGGCTTGAAATATTTTGTATAGGCTAAGCCCCCTTAATTTCATAGTAAAAGTTATCAATATTACTTATATTATTTTAAGCTAAGTTAATATTGAGTAAAAATAAGATTGTATCATCTTATTTATAATGAATATATTTTTTGTAAAATTAAGCGAGAATATATTATTATGAAAATGAAATACAATAAACTAGGCAAAAAATGGCTTCAAAACATAATGTTTTTTTTCGTAATATTTTCAGTAATATTGAAAATAATGATTCGATTATTCAATTTATATTTCATTTTTTAGTTTTAATGTTCATGCATGACATTTATTTTAATGATAAAATGTGTATAAAATATTTGTAACTAAATAACAATAACTATAAAGAACTAGAGATATGTATTACGCGATGGCTTATACACCATTTCTTATTTTTTCTCAATCAATAAAATGTATATTATTCAAAAATTTCAAACCATCTAACAAATTTTAATAGACAAAAACTTTAAATGCAATACAATCATTTGTATCAACAATATTTAGAAAATTAATTCGATGTTTTTTATTTATTTATCTTTTTCTATTTGTATAGATCGTACGTATGAACATAAATTAGTGATAATACAACTAAACCCCTTTTTTATTTATCATGGCGTAAATAGCTACTACATATTTAAAAAATAAAAGTTAAGAAAGTGTAATACATTTATTTTAAATAATCTAATATTAATTAAAGTGTTCTTGCTACATATTATTATTTTATTGTTTGTAAAATTTATTAAGTTTATTTGAATTTTAAATTCAAATGATCTGATATATTTGTACATAGAACAGTATGCTGTTTATTTTGACAGCCAAAATGATAGGCAGCTCACTTTTAAATAAAATTTGTTTTTTTCTCTATAATTAAGACATTTCTACAACACATATTATCTCAGATTTAACTATTCATTTCTAGAGTCATATTTGATTTAAAAATGTATTTGAACAAACTTGTTATCACTTATAACAAATTATTTAGAATAAACAATAAAAAAGGAATTTATTTTCTCAGTAAATATTTTGCTTTACTCAATACAGCACAGGTGTACTACATTTAATTTTATTCTACAAGCTTTTTTTTTTTTTTTTTGTGAAAAATAATTTTAAATGGAGTCCGTTAACGTTAACAAGTTATAATCAATACTATACTTGATCACAGTTTTTCTTGTTCATATTTTTTCAGAATCCTTTTTTATTATTATTTTTTATCAACTACTCGTTAATGTTCAACTAATTAGAAAAAACTGTTTTTAATCTAGGTAAATAATTTACTGCCTCGAAAATACAGACGGAAATAACAACATGATAGTTATAAAATCAATAGTTATCTTCCCCCGCTGTTAGAAACGAAAATAATATTGGTCTTCTATTGTAGGACGCTTTGGGGTAACTTGTCATGGGGAAGCTATTATAGCATTGTTCAAAATCTGATATATTTTACAGTACATCTGGTCTATATTTACAGTCATATATAAAGATATTACATTTTGAAAATGGAAAATAATCTGCACAAAACCATTTATTCCACCGAAATCATTCAACTTAATCATGATGAAATATGTTTATAGATTTTCTAATTATTAAATTAAAATATAATATTTCCTTCAAACATTTGTATAAATATTTATTATAATTTTAATAGAATGGTATGATAATTATTATTTTTTAACTAAAGCATAATCAAGATATTTGCGTGTAAAATATTATCATATTATTAATCATACCTAGAGTAAACTATTTGCTTATAATGTATATTTTGTAAGGTCGAAATTAATTCAATATGGTTTTGCACTGGACCATAAAACATAAAATATATTATCATTGAAAGAATCGTGATGAAATAGATATTGGTATTTGTGAAACATGACACTTGTATATACTATATTTATAATAACATTTTATAATATCAACTATATAAAATATAAATCAGAATATCAATAAATACTAAAAATATTATTTACAATAAACTTTAATTGAAATAATTGTTTAATAATATTTTTGTTTTTATTTTATAGTTTGTCTCCGAATTTATTAACGAGATACTAAGATGCAGACAATCGGTAAAACCACTGATAAAATGGATTTCCCTAAAACTTGGACTGATATATTATTAAAGTCGATATCAGGTAAGACAAACTATACTATAGATGTAAAAATAGGAACTAAACGTATCGCAACGGACAACCAAGATCAAAGAGAAAGCCCGAAAAAACGTCGTAAACAATCGAATCCTACGAGAATATCGGCCAACGAAGAAAATTTGAACAATGGGCTTGATACAGATTTATTGCGATCTGACAGAACCAAACATGAATTGGAACACATTGAACCACTAAAAGATTTAACACTGTCAAATGATCAACAGACTTCTTCATTGCCCTTAAATCTGACAACGTGTGAGAATCAAAAACCCTCTTCTGATGACTTTCAACAAGTACAGTATTCCAATAACATATACCGACAAAATAATTCGTCTACCAAAATTTCCGAAAACTTGAATTTGCCATACCAATCGTACATGCAATCAATTTCATGTTTCGAAAAAAAAGATTGTTATTCGGTTGAACCTTTTAAAAGCCCGCAGTGCAACTTGGCAGCAAATGCTGGCCAGGCTCCCGTTCAAATATTCAACCCAGAAGCGTTTTGCGATCAATGTAACAAAGAATTCTGTAACAAATACTTTTTGAAAACGCACAAGGCTAATAAGCATGGCGTGTACACAGAGAACGTATCGAGTGGCTTCACTACGGATCAGATCGAGAGATATAAAGAGCCACCAGCGGCTAGTGATTTTTCCCCGCACGCTAATGACGTGTCCGCCGTGGTGTCAACGTCGACACTGTTCAAAAACACTTTGGTGTATCCCCAGCCGCCGGCGAACACGAACACGAACGCATCGAGAAACGCGATGATGAACAATCAGACCCGAGCGTTTTGCAACGTGTGCCAAAAGGAGTTTTGTAACAAGTACTTTGTGAAACGGCACAAAGCGAAGATCCACGGGATAGTCGACGACGGAGACTACAGGACGGCCATCGACGACGGTCCGTCGTCGAACAACTGCAAAACGAGTGTCCGGATAAAAAACGAGTTCTTAGACTTTGGTGGCGTCGCAGACGCGTTCGGCAAGGACGAGGAGAATGTGGGACCGTTTACGTTCTGCGCGCAGGAGTCGTATTCGCGAGCGTCCATAGCGCAGTCGCACACGTCGGCGGCGGCGGACACCGGAGAACCGGAGCCGTCGCGATCGGCCGCGGTCCCGTGCGTTCACATCAAAACGGAGGGTTCGGACGAGGAGCACGGCGCGAACGGGCCGGCCGACGGATGGTACAACGGGCACGATAACCGTCACGGTGTCGGCGTCCGTCGGACTGGTGGTGGTGCCGAGGCGGTCGACTTGATGGCGACGAACGACGGCGAACGCGGCACCGACGGAACGGATGACGACGCGGACCGTGGTGCCGGTGCACCGGACGGAGCGACGGAGCTGACGGACAAGAGCGGACCGATGACGTTGAACGATTGGTTTTTCAGACCGAACGGCGGCGCGCCGGAAACCACGTCCAAGTGTGACGCGTGCGACGCGATGGTGGACGGGTCGCTGAAGGCGCACGTTCTCGACAAGCACGAGCACCTGGCCAACGAGCTGATGAACGACGCGTCGGAGTGCGAGTGGACGGCCGCGAAAGGCGCGGGCGACGCGTCCACCAGCAGCAGCAAGAACTCCGTCGAGAACTACGACGTGTGCGCGACCAGGCACGGCGGTGAACGGAAACCGTCGGCGGCCGCGTTGAGCAGCTTCTGCAGGATTTGCAACAAGGAGTTGTGCAACAAGTACTTCATGAAGACGCACATGCAGCGCATGCACGGCATATCGATCCAGAACGGCAACCACATCGGCGGCGTTGTGTGCGACATATGCAACAAGGAGCTGTGCAGTAAGTACTTCCTGCGCGTGCACAAGCTCAACTCGCACGGCGTCGGTGCGGCCGAGAACTGTCCCAGGTACTGGCCGGACTCGGATCAGAACCGAGAGGGCGCGACCCCACCGGTAGAAGGGCCGCCGCAGCCACCGCCGCAACAGCCGCAGCCGCCGGTCGACGGGCCGCTGGACGACGCGGCGCAGCGGCCGGACGATGATGGCCACTACCGGTACTACAAGCACTACACGGAGTCGTGCAGCATGTGCTCGCGTCGGTTCCGGAGCTCCAAGTGGCTGAGCGCGCACCTGTTGAACGATCACGGGGACGAGGGCCGGGCGCTTTGGCGGCGGCACGTGAACAACCGTCCGGAGGCGGCGGACGAGCGGACCGTGGACGACGCGAAGCAGTACCGGTGTTCGTACTGCCCGTTCGCCACGTCCGTGCTGTCGTTCCTGTTCGTGCACGAAAAGTTCCACGTGGCCGAGCCCGCGCAACGGTCGCCCGACCGCGCGTTGGACACGAACGGCAACGACCTGTTGCGGTACGCCGCGGCCGCAAAAGCCGCGGTCGGGTGGCCGTCCGACGACCGCCATCACCGGGTCGACGGTGCCGAGTCCGGCGGTGGCCACGAGCCGTTCATCATGCAGTCGTTCTTCCTGGAGAACTGTTCCGTGTCGCCGTCCGTCAGGACCGATGCGACCGGCCGCAGCGATTCGTTCCACTCGTCGCTCGTCTACTTGCCGGTCAAGGAGAAGCTCACGTCGACCGTCAACGTTTTCTTCAAGCTCACACCGACGTAATGCAATCCGTGTCTGAGATCCAACAGCGTTCTTATCGCGTCCGTGACCGACTGGAGCCGACGCCGATCTGAACACGAGTGGTCGACTACACGAAACAACGCAAATATTGTACACTGTACGATTGTAATTTATATTAAACGTAACATAGGTATCATATTATACAGGGTGTATCTCCCGTATGTCGTTCGTATGACCAACGGTTCTTTATTTTTTCGACGGTAGCGCTACGATAAAAAAAAAAAAAAAAAGGCCCTCCTCGCGACATTTAAACACAATAACGATACGTATTTCTTTATTCTTCCCGAAACGCTATACTCTACGGTTGAACAATTTACTCGCACTTCGTGTTTGGTTTTTCACATCACGACCACTACTTATTCGTTCCGGACATTGTTTTTCTGAAAACTTTCACGGTCACGTCGACTTCGGATCATCTCTCTTAACTGTGCGTTCCGGACATTGTTTTTCTGAAAACTTTCGCGGTCACGTCGACTTTGGATCATCTCTCTTAACTGCGCGTTCCGGTCTATCCGACCAAATAGCTATTGATTAATCTACTCATGTTTAGAGCAGTGTTTCTCAACCGATATGTCGCGGGATAAATTCAAAACGTATCGCGATATAAAATGACTCAACATTTAAATTCGAATTTTCATTTAGTTTCATTAACTGAGTTTTACCGTTTACAACTCGTGTATTTAAAAATTCTGAAATTATTATAGATTTATTTGATTTTATGATTTTTTTTATAGGTTTTTGATTGATCTTTAGTGTAATTTTTTACGATGGGTCGCAAAGTATGAAATATTTAAAGAGTGTACGCCTTAATAGAAACGTTGAGAAACACCGATTCAGAACATCGTATTCATTGAGACAGTTAATTGACGATTTGACCAACAAATTCATCAGAAAAAAAATGAATTCCTAAGAAACCATTAAGAACATCATTGTTCAGTATATAAAACGCATAAAACTGGTTTTGTTGTTGGTACACTTGTACGCGTAAAAGTTTTATGCTATACTACTTAACAATATAGCTTTTCCAAAATAAAGAAACTCGTGTTGTTGAATTTTGTTCGAAATTCCATTTGATCGTTCCGCTATAAACGATCAAAAACCACGTGTACAACTATATATAAGAAGCACAGAGTTAAAAATAATTTAAATAAGACTGAACTATTTATTTATATGGGTGCTGGAATGAAATTCGGTGATATTGATGCTACTAAAGTTCCTAATTAAGCCTTGAATAAAATATTATGTCTTACAACGCCGGTAGTTTCGTATACATTCCAATTCATTCACTCGAACTGCTTCGGGAATATGCACCAATTTTTAAATGTCTTACATGATATTAAATCATAAACGATAATATTCTAAAAAAAAAAAAAATCTACACTTAGATCTTTTAAACACTTCAGTGTGTGTTAAATACATATAATATATTTCTATATTATAACGCTATTACACAGGGTGATTCACTAATAAATCAAATATTTGCATATATTTCTTATAAACTACGTGGTATCATTAAAAATGTATGAAAAAGAAATATTTTCTCTTAGGAAACTTCAATTTGAAGAATTTGATAAACAGTTATTGAATCAACATAAAACATTAAACAGTTATTTAATAATCATTAATTATTCAAAATTACCTCTGATAAAATAGTATCTTAAAAACATTTCTCAGAACGTGTTTATATATTTCTATGAACTATGTTGAAGTATTTAATTTTTAATAATTTTTCTATTAAAATGTTTACGCCTTAAGAAAATTTTGTTTATCTACTATTTAAATAATTCCCTATAGAATGACATTCATGAACGAGCTTTTGAACTTCTAAAAATCAAATGTTATTTTAAAAATATTATGGTAATTTATAAAAAAAAGAAGAAATTCTAACATGCGATTCAAATGCACAACATAATGAAAATAAAATATTCACTTATCATTAATTATTAAACGTAATTTTTAGAATGAGGTGCACATGTTAAAATTACTGTTTAAAAAATAAGCTTTATCATTTCTTAATCGTTCCAAACAATTATTTTTATTATTATTAATTATCACGTAAAAAAAGAATCACTCTAAATAGTAAGTAGTTTTATAGGTTTCATGAATGTAACCAAATTTTTTAACATTTATTATAGTTCAGTTACCTATGTTTTTAAAAGTAATCATGGTAATGGGTTTAACCAGATAATCAAAACTTTTTTTTTTTTAGTACTACCTTAACCATTAGACTTGATAATCAAAATTATACATTAAATTAGTTCAACATTATAATCAAAATAATAATTATAACTTCGTTATTATGTTATACAGTTGATTTTAATGAAATTTTTCGTTATAAAATCTTACACGTTTGTTTTTATAGTAACAATATTATATTATTAAATTAGCAATAGTAGTAGTATTATAATTATTTTCATAACGTAACCAAAACCATATAATAATAATTGGAGTGAAAAATTCACTATAAAATTGACGTTCAGTTTATAATATTGTTTTAAGTTTTTTCCATTTAAAATTAGTTGATTAATTTCTTAGTTTGTAGGTATACGTGTATAATACATGGATATTTAGATTCTTGTTACATTATGTGTGAAAATAAATTTTGAGGATAATAAATAAATAATAAAATGAAAATATGTCAGCGTTTTTTTGATGTATTTTTGCGACGATTTTTTTTTAAATACATACGAGTACATGTATATATTTATACAATCTATTTATGTAGGATTAACTATCAAAATAATAATATTTTAATAATAGAAAGCTTATTTTATGGAAGAAAATTGTAGGTGTACTCAGGTGCCTCATTTGAACATTTTCTCACCGAAGGCCAAACATAAAATGCATTCCTTAAATGTCTCCCTCTCCTACACCGTTTTAAGTACACAAATCTTTACCGAAAGACCATAGCTATTATCATTTAAATCTAAATTCGAAAAACGTAACAGAAGTTGTTTATATAGTGAATAAACAATATTATACAGTTATAGGTTTATTTTTCTTCATTTTCAAATCTCATTCGAAACTAATGTAAATGGATTCCATTGATTATTGTGCGAATAACCATCATAAATGTATACCCGTGTTGACAAGAGAAGTTTAGTAAATACGAAAGATTTCATAAAAACATTTTGAGTTAATAAACACCAAAACTTTTGTGTTAATATTATTCGATAAAAAAAATATATATAATAATACATATTGATATCGATATAAAAATATTAATAAATAATCAATACCTACCATTCATCAGTTATATATTCAACATCGTTATTTCTGTTAGTTAGCAACATTTATTACACACTCACTGTTAATTTCTGTTCACAATAGTTTAAATTCGTATAACAGATATTAATTTAATAATCGAGAGATTCGTTATTCATTTCGTAATCGAAGTCATGAAGATAACTTAAAATTTATAGAATATAAAACTATAATGTTTTATAATAATACATTTGCCTTAGCATTTTTAATTTTTGTTCAATTATTCCGTTGATCCCTGTAACAAAATACAATTTATATTGAAAATTAAATCAAAAATTAATTTTTTAAATTTTAATAATTCCCATAAGCCAAACTTAATAGATATTTTTTATTTTAAGTACCTATACAATTTAAAACAGCACCGAGATTTATTTTTCACGGTGAAAAATATTTATAAATATTTAATTACACGAAAATCTTCGAACGAATAGAAAAAGTTTATGACCTATATATTGTAAATGCAAATATTAAACTCTGGGAAGTAAAATTATGTAAAATATGAATACATGATAGATGTACTAAATTGTATTTCGATATTGACTGAATATATTGTGATAAAACCGAAAATATATTTCTCAATTTTATACTCGATTGATTTCAGTCAACCAAAAAATTTCCTATAAATATGATCAGAAGTTATTATGGAATCGTTACAGGATAACTTCTCTTGAATAATACTAAACATTTTATGCATCAATTCAAAATACTTTGATATTATAAAAAAAAAAAAAAAAAATTGTAACTATTTACTTATAAATATAATGCAGTGTTGAGTGCCTAAAAGTATTCATGTAGTACCCATACTTAAATATTCAACATCAACATAATACATAACATAACATAACATAACATCAAATACAACATCAAGTATTTTGTCTTCATTTTTTTAACTCTTTAATATTTAATTAAGTATTTAATTGTACTTAATTAAATATTAATTAAGTACTTCGAAAATTTCTGCCAATCAGCCTTAGGGATGTTAACAAAAGAAGAAATTTCAAGTACTAATAATTGGTCATTAGAATGCTCTTGGTTTGATTGATTATTTTTGTTTTGTAATTTCGCTTTTTTCTGAGTATAAAAAGATTTTTGATAATTAGTGTATAACAAAATTATTATTAATATACATATTATATTAAATATAAAATAATTTCCATCGATATTTATTTAATTTATTTTACTTTTATTTTCAATTACTGCAAAATACCAACATGATATTCATAAAATATTTAACTAAATAATTGTAAAACAAAATTATTTTTGTAGTGTTTTAAATATTTAACACTAAAATATTTGAGAATTATTTGAAATATATTTAATAAAAACTTAAAATACTATTAAGAAGTATTTTTAACAATACTCCTTGCAAGAATTTCATTTTTATTTTATACAGAAAGTGTATTTCACTCAACAAATCGATACAAAATAAATAATTTGTTATAAAAAACCATATGCAATTACTCTACAGGTACAATTAAGATTAAAATTCTAAGCGGTTAAAAAATATACGAGTATCATAATGACGTATTTGTTATTAGCTATCATCTCTTTACTATTTCCAATTATAAAATACGAAAATAACTGATGTAAAACAACTTTACAAGTCTTAAAAGTGTGTATATGTGTGTGTGTGTGTGTGCGTTTGTGTACATTTTAATGATGGCCGGAATTAAAATATAATATTTGCGTTCTAAACTTCTCCTCAACAACTCCTGAAAAATGAAAATTATAAGATTATTGATACGATTCTACAGTATTCAATATATTTTCAATATTCTTCCGCAATAATTGTTTAATATTGTAAATCACGTTTTTCCGCAGCCAATACATAATAACGACGATAATATAACTATAAACTTTGGGTGAACATTGAACTTGCCTGTCGCGAAAGAAATTTACTAAAGAAAAAATGAAAGCGTTCCAATGTCGCGAAACGTTAATTTGTGTTCTTACTTTGTGTGAAATAATTAAAATTA